GTTTTTGAGCTTCTCCTCTGCTCCGGGTGTGTGTATGGTTCAGTACATGCACTTCGGTGTGGACATACGGAGTACACGATAAAGCATTAAGAAAGCAAGAAAAAGGATGAGAGAAAAATGAGCAGAAATAGAAATGCTGTTCTCTTGCCCACCCCAGTGTATGTTTAGCATTCTGGAGAAATGTGTCCCACTTTGAAAACCACCAGTGTGGACAAGAGGTCATGGAACATGACCCGTGGCAGTGGAGACCGTTCGAGAGATTACGGGGTTGCAAGTAGGTTAACTGGTAGTAGTAGAAAGGAATGGGTGCGGAGGGCCCGAGGTTTCTAGTTTGTGCACCCGAGATCACCATGTGGGCTGAAGAGTTAGCCAGTACTCCAGCAGACGCTGGTCGGGTTTTTGACAATAGTCTTCTGCTTGGCCGTGCACATACTTAATAATAATGCCTTTAGTGACGGAGGCAGGGGGGAGGTTGTCAGCTGGTCTGCTGGACGGCTCAGCTCTGCAGGGAAGAGGATGTGGGACGTGGGTCACTCCTGCCTTTACCCAAGTGTTAGCAGGTGGCAGGACCGGGCCACTGCTTCCGGTTGACTCTTGAGGCTTCTTTGGCCGGAGGCAGAGCCTCCACGGCGGATCGGGTGCTGGGCTGGGAGCACATGGAGACTGTCGCCGTTCCAGCCTCTAGTAAATGATCGGCAGTCTGTGAGCTGTTAGCAGCTGTTCTCACTCACGTTTTTGCTTAGAAGGAAATAAAATGCCTTTGAGGCCGTAAGTTGGGGAAAGATCGAAGAGATGAAGAGAGGCAGGGGAAGCCCATCACATGTGCAGTGTTGCCTGAGACACGGCACACGGACGGGAGAGCAGTGCGGCTGTGGGCGCCGTTCCAGGTGTGGCGTTAGATGCGTGGTGCTCCAATTCCTGAGATAGGTAAAGATTTTCTTTTGTTAAAAACCACATATTTTAAGAGGAAAAGTTTTTTGAAAATGTATTAAAGTGCCACTTTAAAAATGCCATCCCTCTGAACACAGTTTACTCTTTTCTCACCTCTTCTGGCACGGAGCCCTGCAGTCTGACACACACACACACACACACACACACACACACACACACACACGTGTATACATCCAGTTTTATTGAGGTATTACTGAAAAATAAAATTGTAAGATATTTAAAGTGTACGTCATGATGATCTGATATAGTATATATTGTGAAAGGATTTCTCCCATCTAGTTAGTTAACACATCCATCATCTTACCTCTTTTTTTTGCTTTTTTATGATTTTGGTGAGTTGGCAAATTTCATCTATACAGTACAGTGCTATGAAACTGTAGTCACCATGTTTTACATTAGATCCTCAGTCTTTACTCATCTTGCAGCTGAAAGTTTGCCTTTTTACCAACCTCTCCCTATTTACCCCCACGGGCCCTGGCAACCACTTTTCTACTGTTTCTATGAGTTTGGTGGTTTTTGTTTTGTTTTTAACATTTGTTTATTTTTGAGACAGAGACAGAGTGTCAGCGGGGAAGGGGCAGAGAAAGAGGGAGACCCAGAATCCGAAGCAGGCTCCAGGCTCCGAGCTGTCAACACAGAGCCCAACGAGGGGCTCGAACTCATAAACTGTGAGATCATGACCTGAGCTGAAGTCAGATGCCCAACCACCTGAGCCACCCAAGCGCCCCAAGTGTGTTTGTTTGTTTTAAGTCACCGTACAAGTGATGCCACGTGGTCTCTTTCTCCACCTGGCTCATTTCACGTAGCATAATGCTCGCAGGGTCCATCCATGTTGTTGCCAATGACAGGATTTTCCTCTTATGGCTGAGTAGTGTTCCACATCGTGTTGTGGAATGGAGTATTATACACACACACACACACACACACACACACACACACACTGCATCTTCTTTGTTCTTTCGTCTCAGGTAGTTTCCGTGTCTCAACCGTTGTGAGTGATGCTGAAGCAAACTGAGGAGTGTGGGTATTCCCTGGATACCATGTGTTCCTTTCCTTTGGATATGTACCCGGAAGCGGGATTGCCGGAAGTTAGGGTAGTTCTGTTTTTAATTTTTGAGGACCCTCCATACTGTTTCCGTAGTGGCTACAGCAGTCGGCATTCCCGTGGTACGTGTTTTTGTTTTGTGTTGTTTCTGATGCAGGCAGCGCAGTGTCTCCCTGCGTTCAGTTCTGGACGCCTTAGAACAGACACACACACGTTTGCTTTCATTCCCTTTCAGTGTATGTAGTAGGACTTTGCAATCACGAGGGAAATACCGGGGGGCCCTTACTGATGGTCAGAAGCATGAACACTGCTCATTTGGAAGCTGGTGATGTGTGCTCACTCGACAGATCAGCTTTCCAGAGAGTAAATCAAATTAAAACTGGCTTTAAGCAAACGATCTCATTTAATCCTCAGAAGAAATGATGAGATGGGTAATATCCCCTTTACAAGTGGCCGTGGGATGGGATGCTACGGGTCTGCTGTAGTGATCACATCTAGCGGGGAAAATGTAGTCATGCCCATCGATTTGACCCGCCTCTCATTTTCGCTACTGCTATCTGACCCGGCCTTCACCGTTGCGCCACTCGTACAAACACCTACGGGGAGAGAGTGGCGAAAGGCCGAGCCTGAGGGATCGCTGCCTTCCAGACCACGTTAGAAATGAGCAAACGGCCACGACGATACTGTTCTGTGGTCAGAGTAGCTGATACATGTCGTCAGTTTTCTTCTCCGGAAGTCAAATAGAGATGCTCAGTTTTGCTTTCTTGATTCCCCTTAACCTACTCCTCAGTTGATGCTTTCCTGGAGGGCCCGTCCTTTCTTCTCCCAGCTCGGAGCCCGTTCATAGCGAGGCCGACTCGGGGAGAGCCGCTGTTGTGGAGGCACATGCGCGCTGCCCGGGGTACTGATGGCAGCCATGACCCTGCTTCCGCTGCGGGCCTCCCGGCACCGGACAGTGAGTGCTCCTTCCCACGCCCCTCCCTCCTCCTCCTCCTCCCCCCTCCCCCGTGAGCTTCAGAGTTCAGCAGGAAGTGCCTGCAGGCGTATGCATGTGACTGAATGAATTATTCAGTGTCTCCGGGGAAGGGGAACTGCAGTAGGATGGAGAGGTGGCCGGGAGCTGGCCGGGAGCTGGCCGGGAGCTGGCGGGGAGCACGGGTCCCGGAAAGCAGGTGCCTGAGGATCCCAAGTGCAAGCGTGAGGCGTGATAGCGTAAACTGTGACAAGCACAGACGTTTCTGGTTGAAAATGTTCTGTCTCACGCAGTCCTAACGGTTCACCTGCATTCTGACAATTTGTCAGATGACTCTGCCGAAATGATCGGTACTGGAATGTGGCAGTTTCTTTGCTGTCAGAGGCGACATCATTTCTCAGGTTTTCCTTGTGAGTTTTTATATTTCCCTGACTCTTTCTCCCTTTAAATATGAATTAAAGGAACTGAAGAATAAAAGCTGAAGACCAGGCATGTTTATTTAATAAAGGCTTTATTAGAAGTGTCATTTACAGACATCGGTAAGACAGGTTCTTTTAAAGTTTAAACTTGAAATAGAATTATTGACAATCTCCTAAATCGTTTCTCTCCTCTGCAGTGATGTGCTTGACTTGGTAGACATGTTATATGCATGCCTGTGGTCTCTTCTGTCATTACAGTAATGTTGTGCCTGCGGCTCTCACAGGCCTCGAAGTGGGTTGTTGGAGGTACTTAGCAAAGGTGCCTTTTATCAATCTTATTTATTCTGTTTCTGTTTGAAAATATCTGCTGTATGTATTGTTTTTAAAGCAAGATTTAAACTTAATTGGATTATATTAAATCTAATCTCTAAAAATGATAAATTCTCCTGATTATATAAGATTTATTACCATGTTCAGATGTACAATCTTTAAATATAAGTTGGTTTGTTCTGATTCTGTGGAGACTTTTTTAGTATTAATCGTGTTACCTAAAGAGCACAGTTCAGGGGAAATCTAAAATACCGTCTTGTTAGCCTTTATGCAGTCTTCCTTAAGCCAGTATGTTTTAATCTGTTCGTTGATTTTGGTTAATACCAATGGAAAAGGAAAATATTTCCCATGCTGAAAAGAATTTCTTGGGGATTTTATAGAAAATTATTGATGTAAAGTTTTCGATGTCATTAATGTAATCCTAAGAAAAATACTAATTTTGTTTTTTCTACCCCACTTTTGAGCATCACCTTGATTTTATGTAACCCTTTCTTCCCCTTTTCATAAATTACCACCTTCTTGTTGAGTTTTTTCTCTTAAAGAGAATTTATTTCATTATTACTTAAGGTAAATTTTAATGTAGATAATCTAAATATTAAATGACTGTTTGATATGGCCACACGTTTTTAATATGATATCTTGTCAAGTATATATACACATTGAGGAAAAAAAAAGAACAAAATGTGGCTTCTTTAAACAATAGTTTTTTGATGCGTTTCAAAGTGCAAAGCAAACGAAGATGTTCTGATTTACATCAGTGACTTTAATAAGACACTTTAATTTCTCCAGGCTGTTTACAACGTCTTTTGTCTTTTTCAACTAGTGGAACTGAGTCCATCTTACGCTGAGTTCATCGTGAGCATTTCTCCAGAATGTTTCTCAGCCGTCAAGTCTTCTAAATGAGCAGTAATTCCATGGAACGAACTCAGCCTTGGGTCTTGACCTCATAAACCGTTCCATTTACTTTCTAAAACATAATCGTAAAATGTAAATGGATCGCACTCTCTGTGTCACCCGGAAAACAAGCTCTAAGGGCATCGTTTGGTCTGTGGCTTATTACAGGGTTTTTCCACAAATCAGATTACACATAAAAATTCATTTTCAAATTTATATTAAAGAAAATACGTTTTTATTAAATTACAGAGCTTCCAGAATGAGGATCTAGATAGGACGTATGTATAAAAACATTTTGAACCTTTCAAAGCACCTTTTAGTTTGTGTGAAGTTCTTCAGATGGCCCCGTTGTCCTTTGAAGCTTCTAACACCAAGGTGTCTGTTGCAGCCCAGAGCAAGGTTGCTGCTACCCAGGACAGCACTAATTTGCGATGTATTTTCTGTGGTAAGCAACATTATGTTTACATTACTTTTTCAAGCTGTGGTACATACTACTTGCACATTTCCATAACTTTTGTTTCCGTAGGCCATAGTCTGGTTTGTGGTGTTTGGGATCCACAGCGGCTACTGTTTCATGTTGTGATACTGTTGGGGCTCACGTAGGTGATTTGGGCAGCTTTTGAGTTGGCTTCTTAGTGGGGATTTGGTTAGAATGAGAGTCTTAAAACGAATTCCTCTTCAGTTCTTCCAACATGAACGAGAGGGGTTTTTGTTTCTGTTTTTAACTCTTTTGTTTGAAGCAGTCTTTTAATTTACAATTTCAGGGATAGCATTACACCCACCGTAGTGTGTTTTGAGGAATGTGCCTTATCTGAAGGGAGCTTTTGCTCAGGAATGAAGTTTGAGGTGACCCATGTCGTGAGGCAGACGTAAGCCATTGCTGCTTCACCGGGCTGGCTTGGGAGGGACGGCCTTCTTCCCGCACTAGGTTAGGCACCTGTTGCCGAGGAGTGGGTTTGGGCCTAGCGAGTGCTCTTCCGCTCCTGTGCACACGCGTGCGCACATGTGTGCCGTTCGCACGCAGCAGCCGACTGTGCCGCTTAGCTGCCCCAGGTTACAGGTAGTCAGACAGGTGCATCTTCGTACCCTTACCCGAGCAGAGGGCTGCGTGCGCACACACCCCCAGAGGCACGCACACGCACACACAAACCTTCGTCCGAGTCGTTTGTATCATTTGATTCTCACACTTTCCAGTTTGAAAACCCAAGTTCAAAAAGTGACTTGTAATTCTTAAAACTTCTTTTTTATTGGCTCCTGTATATATATATCTTTTTTTACTCCTGTATACCTGACTGGCCCAATTACCTTACAAGAGAGAAAATCATAAAGTGACCTACTGCTCAAATTTTAGATGAACAGTTCAGCTGTGTGTATGTACTTATCCATGTGACTCAGTTTTTGATGTGATTCTTCAGTATTTCTGATATTGTTTCTTTAGCTATAAAGAGAATTATTTTCAAATTTATGTACTTGCTGGTTGAGGCAAAGAAGCATGTGTTAGAAGTTTCCAAAAATGAAAACTTGGATGTATTTCTTAATCACCTGAACATTCTGGGATTGCTCAGGGGAGACAGAGACAGCAGTGAGCCTGGGGGGTGTGGCCCCTCACGAGCCCCCCGTCTTCCCCGGGGTTTATCTCACCTGTGATTCTCTGCCTCCTCCTGGGGGTTCTTCTAGGCCACCTTTTGAACTAGCCATGAGTTATTATTCGTATTGCTGTTATTAGAGGGCTTTTTTTTTTACTTCATTCTGAGAACCTACTTGGTGTTCTGTACTTTGCTACTTACCGTGTTGAGTTCCACATGCAGAATAATAGATACAGTTAACCCAATTGCAGAGAGAAGATTGATTTGCCCTTAATAAAGATGAATTTTTAAGTTGTAAAAATAATGTGTTAAAAAGCAGATTTTCCCCATTATTACCTTTAATCGATCTGTGTACAACAATATAATGACCACATCGCTAAGTTTACACTTGATTGTATTGTGTATCATAGCACCTATTGGTCTTTTAGTCCTGTGTTTTTAAATAGTCTGTGGCTAAGTGTGAAAACTACATTTGTGAAAATTAAAACGTGGTGGCAGGTGGATGTGCTTTAGCCAAAACTCAGTATGAAGTCCTCGTTTCCAGGACCCTTCACTCTGATTTCCATCATTTATAGAGAACATAGCAGCGACATGGACACATTTTCTTTATCAGAAACTAAGTCACATCTCTGCTACGTGAATTGTAGCCAGGACAAATTAATATCAGCGCTTGTCTTTGGCTGTGGTAATAAAACAGAGGAACTAATCCTCGAATATCGCCGCTGTTCTTTATGACGCTCCAGGGGGAGCGAAGCGGGCTCCCTGGTTTCTCCTCTTACTTTCCCCCGGAGGAGAACAGTCAGCCAGCACACAAGCTCAGAGCTCATGATTCACCCGCTGCGTAGGAAAGTGCCTTTTTTGCATTCTCTGAGAAGACAGGTACCCATTTAGGAATATGACCCATGTGAAGAGTAAGATAATTGTTACATTACAGAAAATACAATGGCAGCTGGCAGCCGTGATTGGTCATAGTTGCCGTCTCATGTTGCTGTAATTGACCAGTTGTAGAACCCAGCGGGCTGACAGGAAGCATGACCTCGTATACCGGAGTTCATAATTGACCCAGAACTCTCCTGTCCATCGCTTTCAGTATATTTACATTATTTTTAAATGCACATGAATTTCAGTGTGTCATTGTCATGACTTGACAGTACTGATGGAGAAGCCGCCAACAAAACAACTAAAGTAAATAGAAGTACGAGAAGACGCCAGGGAGACGGCTTCTCCTCTCCGGCCACCGTGCAGAGGTCTATGGAGAGACCAGCTGCCCGTTATCACAAAGAACCGTGTAGAAAATCATCTTTAGAGTTTTTCTCGGATCAAAATTCCCCTCATTTTGAAAGGATTTTCCTTGAAGTTTTCGTGTTTTAGCTGCACGAATAAACTGTAGTACGTTATTTTTATAATTAATGATACCAGCCAGAAAATATTTCCCACATTCTTAAAACTTGCTTTTAAAACAAATTCATTAAGTTTTTAACTTAGGAAAAAACCAAAACAGTTTCTGTACATTCCTTTTAAAAAATACTTTTTTCTCATTCAAGCTTTTTCGAGTTCTATCGGACTTTTGTTTTTGTTTTTTTTCAAATCTGTTTAATAAAATCAGGATTGAGTTGAAATTTTGACACCTTTTCCTTAAATTTACATATTTGAGTTAAAACTTGTATCAGTAGATTTCTGTTGGTGAATTTCCTCTGTTGGCACGACGTGGAGGTAACACATGCTTGCTCTGGGTGTGAGCAGTCTGGCGCACCCGTGGAGGTGGAAGTGGGTGCCGGACTAGTCTCTCTGGCCTGCTGGCATCCAGCTGTTTAGTTATTCGAGCAGCATCAGGCTTTCATTTAAATAAACAGTATTTTAAAAAAGAGTTAAACCATAATGGTCTCGTGAGTTGCCCAAGCTACATGCTCAACATTTAATATTTTTGGAAAGATGTAACTTTGGATTATAAAAAAATGCTTCCCCCAAATAGTTTCTATTTTCTCAGGTTTACCCCCACCCTGATCTTCTATTTTCCCCCTCCTTCTGCCAAAGAGGTGAGACATCTTCTCCTCATAAAAGTATTAGACATTAGTGTATGGCTTAATGTGATAGTCTGTTTTTAACATCAGTATGTTCATTCCCAAGAGAAGGAAAGAAGTCCAGCCTGGTTGCTAGACAAGTTTTATTTTTTGTTTATGCAGATTTAAGTGCGTGTTTAGTTTAAAAAGCTTTTTGATTTTTTTGTTGTTGCTGATGACATGGGGTTAATACATTTTAATACCTCCTTTATGTGGTTATCAAAATAGCAGACTGTTAGGAAATCTAATGAAATACATCACTGCAGTAGTCATGTAATTTGTCCTCCAAAAGACAAATTACATGATTAATCTAGAAATGGGGAAAGAGATGAGGAAAAAATTTAGTAGGTAAGTTTAGATCAAAGCATCTGCTTTTCTACATTTGGGACCTACCAGTACTGTATTATTATATTGCCATGTCCTTCTAGTTGTGAGGGTCACTTCACTCTACGGCACACAGTTGGTGCTCTTGTGCTGTTAACTTAGAGATACGAGCATTGGCATTAGTACACAGAAGTGTTTGTCCATCAACTCTTTCTTGTAGTAGTGGTCTACAAAACACTTTCACAATATCTGTTAGGGGCATTTGCTGACACACTAGATTTACTTGTTTACTGGATTCTTTTGTTTACTGGGTTAGAGTTCAAGATTGTTCTGTTTTAACCGTGGGCGTTGCATATTAGGTCCAGTGTTCATTTCTCTCATGATACATTTAATTTTTATATCCAGTGACATTAAAATGTCCCATATTTAATGGCATTCTTTATAAGATGCTAAAAATGGGTCTGCATTGTACATGGTACGTGGGAATGAAGGGTCATTAGTTTCTCGTGACAGAGCCGTGTTGGTTTGAACGCAGGGTTTTTGGTTTTTGGTTTTTTTTGGGGGGGGGGGTTTGTTTTTTACCCCAAATGAAAAGTTGCTAAGATTACCTCTGTTACATTAAAAATTCAGAGAAGTAGGCTAATTCTGTTTAGAAGTTTAGCAAATGTTTGTTTTCACCAGTGCTGGAAATGCCAAGCCAGTAAATAAGAATGGCAGCTTAAATTGGGCAAATTTGATAAATGCATTAGCATACTTCATCCTAGTAATAAGGTTCTCATGCTCTCTCTCTCCTGTTTTTCATTTCCAGTGTTCTATTTAGGTGAGTTTTTGAATTCTGATTTTTTTCATTTAAGTTCTCCCTCCCCACTTCATGAATAAGTACCCTGAAGAGAATGTCTCATTGTCCTAGAAAATGCCAAGCTCAGGCGCCTATTCAGATGCTCATTGAACACTTGTTTTCCTCAAGCTCTTCATATGTAAATGTTTATTTTCCTTTATTGTTGGTGTTTTCCATTTGTTTCAAGTAAGCCTTCTGGGGATGATGGCAGTATTATGTCGCAGTCTTTCATTTGCTGTGTGTTATGTAAAGCTTATATTTTATTTTGCTAAACAAAAAAGAAGATACATTTGTAAATATGTGATGGTTTTATGTTATTCTTCTCATGATTTTATCTCCTCTGTCCAGCTAGCTATAAAGATAATGTTCATCTATAATGTTTTCCTCCCTTTTTAGGGCCAACATTGCCTAGACAAAATTCACAGCTACCTGCCCAAGTTCAAAATGGCCCATCACAAGAAGAATTGGAAATTCAAAGAAGGTAAATTTAAAAGTTGTTATTTGCAGTTTCTCTTTCTACTGCGGAAGGCCCGCGAGCATCCTGGTATAGGAAGTAGATTGTGTCTTGTCAGCCATTTAAAAGTCACTTAGCAGCACACGAAATGACTTTCACTTCACGGAGTCTTATTTTTATAGTGGTTATAGATTGATCTATGGTCATTACGGCTTTCACATAACTAATTTAACTAGAAAGTTGGCGTCGTGTTGGCTGTTCGGATAAGTCTCTGATCTTGAGATACTACCATAGAGCTTAGTAATGGATACAAACTCACTCTGTTCATGATTAAATCGCTGGTTCAGTGAGATCAATAGTATCCTCTCGTTGCTTCAATGCCCTTTATAAAGAAATAGATTTGAAATTGTAACACAGCCTCAATTAGGTATAGTTTTTTTTTCTCCTGAATTAGCAGAGTTTCTGAACTGTAAGCTACCAAACTTGTAACAAAAGAGTTTTATATACATTCAGCAACTAAAACGGAATTAGTGAAACCAGGTGTTCCATTTTATTGTATTTTATTTTATCTTTTATTTATTTTGAGAGAGAGAGTAGGAGAGAGTGTGATCAAGGGCGGGGGGGACAGAGACAGAGAAAGAGAGACAGAGAGAGAGACACAGAGAGAGAGAGACAGAGAGAGACAGAGAGAGAGAGAATATGAATCCCAAGCAGGCTCCACGCTGTCAGTGCAGAGCCTGACTCGGGTCTCCATCTCACAAACCATGAGATCATGACCTGAGTCGAAATCAAGAGTTGGATGCTTAACTAACTGAGCCATCCAGGTTCTCCCAGGCCTTCCACTTTAAACAGATGAAAACTTTTTGGAGATGTTGACATTGCCTTTTTTTGTTTGTTTGTTTAATGTCTATTTACTTTTGAGAGACAGAGCATGAGCAGGGGAGGAGCAGAGAGAGAGGGAGACACAAAATCCTAGACAGGTCCCAGGCTAGAGCTGTCTGTCAGCACAGAGCCTGACGCAGGGCTCGAACCCACAAATCATGAGATCATGACCTGAGCCGAAGTCAGACGCCCAACCAACTGAGCCAGTCAGGCACCCCTGTTACTTTTAATCACTAGTAGGTCACTTGTTTATTACAGAGAGCTGATAACCGTCCTACAGATGGATTCTTCCAGTTGACAAACATTTGCTCCATGGCAAGCTAGAGTTTCTTCCTGTGACCTTTTTTTTTTAAATTTTTTTTTCAACGTTTTTTTATTTATTTTTGGGACAGAGAGAGACAGAGCACGAACGGGGGAGGGGCAGAGAGAGAGGGAGACACAGAACCGGAAACAGGCTCCAGGCTCCGAGCCATCAGCCCAGAGCCCTACGCGGGGCTCGAACTCACGGACCGCGAGATCGTGACCTGGCTGAAGTCGGACGCTTAACCGACTGCGCCACCCAGGCGCCCCGTCTTCCTGTGACCTTTGATTTGGATCCACATTTGAAACACTCTTCATATTTTCCATGTTGTCTTGATATGTGTGTCATGTTCCTCTGAAAGACAGACAGACAGACAGACGGGGATCTTTCACCACGTTCTGTGTGTAAACGCGTGGCCCTTGGGGGAGGCCCTTCCGAAATGAATTTTGTTTTCATCACAACCTCTCTGGTTAAATCCCTCTCTATTTGGTTGAAAAAATCTGTCCAACTCTTTTGAGTGATGCTGTAACAGAAATAAAACGTAAGTTTTTGTAGAAATAAGGAAGGTTTGAAAGTTCTGTATTGAGTGTTTTAAACATTCCAAAATAATTTCAAGAGTTAGAAATTGTAATGATACTGTTGCCCACCCCCCCCCGCCCCATACACACGGAAAAAGAATTGATAAAAAAATGACTGTAGTATTATCAGGAGTAACCCATTTGTAGAAAGCCAGGAAGAACCAGGAGAGAACCCAAATGTAACGGATAATTTTTCACGTTGTGGAGCAGACAAGCATGTGGCCCTGGGGACAGGTGCTGGGCGAGGACAGCACAGAGTAGAGACCGGAGCCGCAGAGGATGCTGCCGGCTGGTTAAGGGTCTCTGAAGGGCCGTCCGCGACATGGAGGGCTGTCCACGACTTGCAGCTCGAGGCTGTACTGGAAATGAGTATTGAGCGAATTTTTTACTGATTGCTGTGAAAACGCTGTGTGTATCTGTCCCATCTGGGTGTTAGCCCTGCAGCGCTCAGCTGGACTTGAGGCTTTTCTGCTTGTATGTGGGAAGATACGTCAGGATTTGAAATTGGATGTTGTTTATATTACTTGTTTAGTTGAAGACTTGAAATCGTCCAAAAAATTGGTGTAAATTTTTAAATTATTTTCTGTCCATAGTCACACACAGACTTTCTTCTTTTTTTTCTTTTTTAATTAAAAAAAAAAAACAACAATGTTTATGTCTGCACCCAACGTAGGGCTTGAGCTCACAACCCCGAGATCAAGAGTCACAGTTCCCAGCCAGCTGAGCCAGCCCGGCGCCCCTCTTCTTTCTCTTGGATAAACCTTCCATTGGACGCCACTTACTTTCTCCCGGTGTTCATTTTTATCTCTGTTCCTTCCCTTTGCTCTCCTCCACCCGCTTCCATTTTTATCTGGTGAAATCTGTTGGTGTCTGCTCTGATCTCCTGGAAATGCTGCTTCCATCATCATTGGCTTGTTTCTGGTTTAGGTTTCTTCTCCTGGTGCACAGCCTGCCTCTGCTTTCTTCCTTTTGGTACCGTAGTCTCTGTTCATCGCGGACTGCTCTCCCTTCCGTTTCTTCCGCAAGGGCGTGCGCTTAGCTGTCTCTGGGTTTTTTTCGTACATGGTATACCTTCAAAAAACTGAGGATTCTGTGGGATATTGTAGTTTTCTCTTAACTGTCTTATGCTGACGGCTCCCACGTTTACAGCCGTGATCCTGCACCTGAGATCCATATTTCCAATGAAATGGAATCCACGCGTCCTTTTGAGAATGTGGTGCCAGCAGCGGACTCCTGCCCTCTTCCACCCAGCCCTGCATCCTTCTTAAATGCGCGTACACGTGCTCTTCTGTGCAACACCTGCATGACATTTCGGAGGGTCACAGACCCCTCGGTTCCAACGAGTGGTCCTCAGGGAGTGTTCTGCTGCGGAACGCATGCGTTTGGGTATCCCGCTAATACCCCAGGGCACGCACACTTCCTTCTCTTCGTATTTCACCCGGACTTTCTGCTTTAGGAAGTCTGTAATTATCTTCATTCACAGGCTCTGTTCCGGCATACCCTGTGACTTCTGTCTCGGAAAGCCTGACAGATTGTCTCTTCGGACGTTCTCGTCACCGATAGCTTTTCTGGCGTGTGTTCCCTTACGCACTGCCATCGTTATCTAGTTGGTTTTCCTGCCTTTAACCTAGATCCCTTTCAGTTTTTCCCACTTGCTTACTGTCAGATTAATTCTTCTTTAAGTCATGTGTTCACGGTAGAATCCCAGGTAGCGCCGGAGGGCCGGAGATGGGGGAGTGTGTGGCCTTCCTTTCGTGTTAATCTCCAGAATCAATCCCTCCTAACCGTTTCTGCTTTTAGTATTTTGGATGGCTTCTTCCATAGCGCGAGATAATATGTTTCTATTTCTGTCTCCTGATTAGTCGAGTGATGGCTAGTGGCGGCTGACTTTACTAGGAAACCCGAATTCTTCATGTCCCTGCCCGTTACCAGTGGCCACTATTTGTAGTCCTGCTGTCGGTTTCTCTTTCAAATTGAACCTGTGTCTCTTCACTGCTCCCTCTGCGAGGGGGGCTCAGTGGTCCTGCCGTCCCGCTCCGCCCCCTGGGTGTGCTGTCTTGTCCGTGTGTTTGCAGGGGAGCCCCCCCACCCCCTACCCCACTCTGGGGTCCCTTTAAACCTCATTAACCAGGGTAGTTGGAGTCCTCACGAATATGTGACTAGCTGAAGTTTTTAAGTTTTGTAGTTTCTTTCTCCCTCATTTCTTTCTTTAACCTCAATATTTAATAGACCTTTTCCATTTGAAAACTTAATAAGCACATCTCTTAATTTTTTTAAAAAAAAATTTATTTTTTTAACATGTCTTCTCTGTTTTCTCTGTTGACTTTTTTTGGGAACTCCTACATGTCAGATGCTGGCTTCCAGGGTTGTTGCTTCAGTATACTTCTATTTTTTCATTTTCTGCTTTTTTCTTTTTGTTCTGTATCATTGACAATATTTTTAGCCACATATCCTAGATCAGCATTATTTAGTAGAAATACAGTATGGCCCATGTATGTAATTTTTAGTGGCCATATTAGCAAAAGTAAAAAAGAAACCTGTGACCTTAATTTTAATAATATATCGTGTTTAACCCAGTTTATCTAAAATCTTATCCCTCCAGGGGTGCCTGGGTGGCTCAGTCCGTTGAGCATCCGACTTCAGCTCAGGTCATGATCTTGCGGTCTGTGAGTTTGAGCCCCGCGTCGGGCTCTGTGCTGACAGCTCAGAGCCTGGAGCCTGCTTGGGATTCTGTCTCCCCCCCTCTCTGCTCCTCCCCCACTTGTGTGTGCGCGCTCTCTCTCTCTCTCTCTCTCTCTCTCTCTCTCTGTCAAAACTAAATAAACATTAAAAAAATTTTTTTTAATATTATCATTCCAGCATAAAGTAAGTGTAGAAATTGTTACGGTGTTTTACATTCTCTTTTTCATACTGAGTCTTTAAAATTCGGAATGTATTTTACACTTACCACGCATTACTGTCCAGACAGGCCACATTGTACGCGCCCACAGGCCACACCCCTGGCCCACGGCCACCTAATCGGGTGGGACGTGGTGGATCTCTATTGAAAGATCAGTCTTAATCTCCAAGAGGGCTTTTTCTGTTTTGTAATCATTCCCTTTTTAACAGCCTGTTCCAGACTCACGATCGTATCTTAAGTCTCTCATGTTCTCGTCCTTTCTCTGAGTCCTCTCCCTCCTGCAGAGCTGGGTTGTTTGTCTTTTGTACTCCATATTCCTCAAATATCTGGTAATCTTGAGTGGTCCGCTTCTTTGTAAACGGATTCGATCGAATGGCATCCGTCCTTGGCTCGGGTTTCCCGTTGCATCATGGAGGTGACGTCTCTGCTGGACACAGCCTCCCTGAGAGCGAGGGCGGCCGGGGACGGGGGTCTGTGGAGGCGGGCAGAGCACACAGACTGGCAGGCTGTCCTTTAGGTAGGGAACAAGGGTGGAGGGCCGACCGGCCTCGGGACCCCACAAATGCGAGCTGGCCCTGGCTCCCCCGAGGCCGCGTGTCTGCTTAGAGGGCAGTCTGTGGTCAACGCCGCTGCGTCTGTTGAGCTGAGCTCGGGGAGGAGAGGGTGGCGGTGCGGCTGCTCTTCAGACAGGGCGTGCGGTTATTAATCGGCCTGATCGTGGCTGCGTTGCCCGCTCGCGTCCTGTCCCCTGGCCTCGCGGGAGGCCTCTCCTGCCCCCTCTTCTCCCGTCTGCTTCAGCCACGTTCGGCACGGATGCCGGCTGCGGTCGCCCCCGCTCTGCGCCGCTCTGCGGCGAGGTTCCGGGCGCCGTCTGTTCCCCTGCTTACGACGGGGCGGGGCGGGGACGTCAACAGCCTTACCCCAGTCAGAGGGACCGGAGACCTCGTAGGCGAGTAGTGCCCCCGGAAGAGACCGAGTAGAGGGGACGCCGGCCAGGTGGGTGTCCGGGTGAAGTGCGCTGCGTGCGGAGGGAGCACCCCGGGCGGAGGCCTCGTGGTGCTCGTGCACGCGTGTGCCCGTGGACGAAGAGGCCCCTGAGGCTGGGGCAGAGAGAACAAGTGCACGGGGCGAGCGGTAGGTGGGTTTGAAGCCCGCGGAGAGTCCCGTCACGCGGGACGCGGCAGGCGATTGCGGAGAATTGAGCTTTCGTTCTGAGCGAAGGAGGAACCGCCGGGTGGTCTCGATGGACGTGAGTCGTCTGGCCGCGCCGCGGAGACTAGCCCAGAGGGGAGCGCGCACGCAGGCGGGCGCGCGGCCGGGACCGTCCGGCGGGAGGACTCGGCGGCCGTCGCCGTCAACGAGGCGGGGACCCGGGGGTGGCTTCCGCCGAGGGGTGGACGGGGCGAGAAGGCAGAGTCTTGGGCTCCTTGGGGGCGGGGTGCCGGCAGGGGAGGGTCACGGCTTTTAACCGGAGCGGGTGGGGCGGGGAGGGTGAGTTGTCCTGGACGGAGCCGCGCGAGGGACTGTGCGAGCCGAGGGGGTTTTGTTGGGAGACACCGGGCTGGGGGAGCCCTTGACGGCGCCCGGTTGGGACCTTCGCCGGACGTGCGCGTAAGGGCGCCGGGCAGGTACTCGGCTACGCGGTCTACAGAGACGCGGGCGGGAGGCCGAGACTTCCGGCTCCGCTGTTCCCGCCTCCGTAGACCTGATGATGGAGTTGGTCTGCAGCCGACCCCTCCGTGTTCTACTTTGTCGTGAGTTTGTGTAGGCACGGTCAGGGTTTTTCCGGAATTCCGGGAGGGGAGAGTTTGACTGTTGACGTCTGCGGACCGGAATGAGTCCAGACAGTCCCGTGTGTCGCTTCCCCTCAGCGCTCCCGCGAGCCGTCCTCACGTCCGGCTTAGTTCTTTGGCCGGA